CTCCAATATTTTGTGTCTTTGGAAGAATCTACCAAGGGTTTAGAACAGGACCTCGATACAACATAGAAGAGACCTTCGCAACTAGGGTGGTTCTGGAGGCGGTAAATGGAGCTGAAGACCCTAGCGCTCGTGGGTATGGGTACTGAAGCCCCGAGGAGGACAAACCCCACAATGATCATCCAAGCGTTAGGAGTTAGCTGAGCGGGAGAAATGTTGTAAAAATTCAAGATCTCAATGATGGTCGGATGTAAAGGGAATCGTAGACCATTTTTGAACATGTCTTCGTAAAGACAAAGCCATCCCGGAGGAGTTTCGCCAAAACTACCCTCTCCGGGCTCCGGAATATAGAAATTCCAAGCGTCAGGAATATAGTATTTGGCATAGAACCTACGGACGTCATCCTCTACAAGTGTGGACACCGACCCATCAGTATAAGCACTAGCTTTTTGCCTACGTCTGTGGGGTCGTCGGGCTAGGATTTCGACATCATTAGACTCGTTGAAGTCCATGGACATTTTCGAACCTGAAAATGCAAGGACATAAGAGACCGCGGGGGAATACAAAAAAAAAATGAGACAAAGTGACCAAGGAGTCCTCGGGATATCATTTGTGACTTGGCGGCAAGTAAAAATAAAATGGAGCGGTATGTTAGTTCTTTCTTGCTACGAGCAAAAAGAAGGCAAAAATTCGAGTCCTTGGACTACTCGAAGAAGAGGTCTCATATGCTTAAGGTTATGCTAACTTTGGAATGTGCCCATAGAAAAGCTAGCAAGCAACACACATTTTTACAAAAAAAAAAAAGGGTTGCAAAAATTCCTTACCTCTTATGAGCTTTCAGATAAATCGGTTGCAGAAGGAAAGTGAAGGGAGGCTTAGATGTGTATCCAGCAGCCTTGTTAACACTTCAAAGTCCTTGGGGGAAAAATAGAAGAAAGGGACCTCTGTAGGTTGAGTGTTTTTGCTAAGGAAAATAAATAAGTGATCAAAGCAAAGGAGTTGTCAGACTAATTTGGCGAAAGAAAAATGTGGCTAGTAAAATTGGCGAGTTAATAATTC